TCAGCTTCTTGTACACTTCAAGTCAAAGGTTGGAATGTCTTGGTCCCAATACAATTTAAGGTTTAAAAAACTTAGGATAATTTCATGACATTTTACAATTCCATGTTATAAACCCTAATCTGAATTTTACGATCATGGCATAGGAGGATGAACTCTCGAAAGCAATTATTTCGTATAGAGTAGAAGCAGATACTTGTAATGCCTTTGTTGAGTTTCTAGAAGCTGCTTGGGATTTCCAGTATTCTTTTATGGAGGAAAAGGAAAAGAAGGTCAAGTATGTAATTTCTAATTATGTCCATATTCAAGTGTATATATAAATTCTCTTACTGAAAAATACTCTGTTTTATTCGACATACTCAAGTGATGAATTGGAGACTCATGAAGAATACTTTATAAATGTGGCTAGGAGTCTTTTATCTGCTTACAAGGTAATTGACCATAAACTTGTTAAAATCCATTTTTACTTGCCATTTAATCTATAATCTCATTGCATCTTTACTTGTTTTGTATATTTTGATCTTATAAGGATGCACTGGGACCCGCTATCGCCATTTTGAGGGAACATGCGAAGAACTTGAAAAGGTAAGAATTTCTTTTTGTTTGTAAATTAGTTTATGTGGATAGAAAAGAAAAGTGCTTTTTTTTTTTTTTTTTATCAAAAATATTAAATTTGGGCTTACAGTTTTGGTAATGTGGTAGGTATGAGAAAGCAATTGACCCAGATGAAGAATTTTTACAAGATATCGAACAAAGAAAAAGCCTTGAACATGCATATCTAGCTGCAGAAACCAAGGTATATTTATTAAATTTACACATTCTGATTATTTTTTGGCCTAAAAAGTAAAAACACTGAAGCACTTTTTTTACTGTTTTCATTTGGTGCAGGTTATTACTATCTTTGGTGCAGCAGATAGTGTTAAAGAGCAGTTTTACCAAGCAATTGATAATGTTTTTAGGTAAGATGAATTCATTCAAGTTTTTTTTTCAATAATATAACGATTTTGTTTCAATGTTTTGGTTGATGTTGAGCAGGAAAGTTATTGAACCGGTTCATGATTTATGTGAAGCTATTGAAAACATCAAAATCGAGTTTGAATCTTTAGCAAGACCATATGTGAGTAAAGATAAGTCAAGTCATGTAGAACAAACAGTGTCAAAGGAAAGCCCACAAAAAGGCGTATCACCATCTTCCAAACGTGTGCTTACAGTAGATATAAAATCAATCCTTACACAAAAACTGGTTATACGATCTCCAAAAAAGAAAGCATATATACCCTTAGGTGGCAGTTCAGAAAACTCCCCATCAAATCCAAATGATGACCAAGAGGAGGATGACAAGTCATCAACCCCAAATAAAGAAGCATCAAAATCGTCCTTGGAAATTGATAAAGAAAATAGGGAAGAAACCAATATGTCACAACATCCTTGTACTAGTGAAAATGAGAAGCTTCTAGAAGAATCAGGGAACTTGGCCTCGGAACTTTCTACAAGTAATGATGAAAAGTCAGTAGACCCTAATAAAGAGAAATCAAAAACCAAAGAACCTAAGAAGAAGAAGAAGTCTCAAAGTTCCTCAAGTGAGAGCGACAAGTCATCATCATAATAGGCCAAGTTGAAAATCTTATGATATACAACATTCCACATCTTTGTTTCATTTAGATTCCACACAGGAGTAACCTGAATGTGAATTTTATGCAAACAGGTAAGTAAAGGGAGGATGATTTTGACACTAAATACAGAAGCCAAAGCTTGTAAGTTGTAAATCAATCACATAGAAATGGTACATTTCATATATTCATAGATGATTAGATTTATAGTTAGAATTTATCTTTACATTGTTTTCTGAAACATAGTCAGCCAGTAATAAGTTGGATCTCAGTCTCTGAATTAGATTATGCAGATTTGGTAAATGGCTAGTTGATTTAGTTACTACCTTTTTTAGCAACAAAGATAAAATTAAAAAATTGTGATTCAGTTAAGTTATTAAAGGTTTGTCAGATGAGTCGAGTGGGGCATCTGTGAAAGTGGGCAGTGTTTGCAGCAAAAGGTAGACATGAGGGTATGGACTCAAGGTCAGACCCAATTGCCCCTATTAAGTCTAGTCGCATTTCCTAATATTTCTTTAGATTACATTTGAATCAATAAACGTCAACCATTAATTATTATTTATATATATATTTTTTTTTCAAAGAGATGGTGTATCTTACTGAGTGAGTGAATCGGGTAACTCGGTTACAAACATTAGGGAAAATGGGGAGAGAGATTACATATGCATATGAACAAAACAAAAAAATGCAGAAATCATGGACCATTATTTTGAAAAAGACAATGGTAGCTAGGCATTATGCATCGTTTTATGTTTTATTACATATACTATATTATGGCCTATTGACTCTTGCGCTCAACCTTATAATAATAACAATAATTAATACGATAGATTCACAATGTAGAGTGGGGGCCAAATTAAAAGTATTATTAATTAAATATTTAAAACATCATTTAATAGCGACGTAGGGGTCTTATAAACCAAAATTTAATAGATGAACAACTGTTTTTTTAAATGATTTTAGAATCTTGTGAGAACAAGTGAAAGTAAAAAAGATAATAAGCCCATGTGTTGACCAAGTGCGGAGACCCATGAAGTGTTTTATCCATCTCTCCATTGTTTATAAAAATATGACAATGCTAAAAACCAAGGTGTATGGGAAAATGGGGCTTTGCCTTTTAAAAATCAACTTCTTATTAAATGCTACGTACAAATTCCCAACACATTACCACACACCTCTCTCTCAATTCAAATTTAATAATTAACAAGAACGGTTGTACATATGCATAAGAAACTTGTACGCTGGGTCTAAACAAGAAGAGATGATATTATTTTGATATATTGATATATGATTTCAAGCCTTTACAAGTGTCCCTCTCTTTGGTGACTAAATTATGTGTTTTCATTCTTGGTTATGAAGGTAACGAATCATCATAACATTAACACCACACCAATAACCATTCTCATAATGATTTTATATATTTTGTCCACCTTTTGTGTAGTTAGTGTACAACAAGATTACCACGTCGTACAACCTTTTCAATGCGTGGTCAATGCAGGAAGAGGGACCATCCTTGTTTCTTACCATACTTTCTTGTTTGGAAGCATTCAAGAAAAACTTTACTTGAAAATAACAAAAAATCTGACATTTCACCATTTTATTATATCTTACTTATATAAGTTACTAACTTGTCACCTTCTCTACTTTAAATGATGCTCTTTTGAGTTTTGAGCCTCAAGTCTCAACCCTTGTAACACATTCTTTCAAAAAACATGTCTTCAAATCTGTTACTATCAAGCAATTATGAAGATGAAGAGTTCATAGACATGGAGGTAAGTTCATCGTCTTCACCATCAAAAACCAGAGAGTTTGAATTCCAAAAAGATGGAAGATCAATGAACAATGCCTCACCAGCAGATGAACTTTTTTACAAAGGCAAACTCCTTCCGCTTCACCTCCCGCCACGTGTACAAATGGTGAAATCACTTCTTCTTCAAAATGCTAAAGCTAAAGATCAAGAACAAGAAGATCAGTTCATTACATTTTCAACTCCTCCATTAATGGTGCAATCATGCAATATATCGCCTTCTGAATCTAGTAGGGTAAGCACTGAATTAACCCCAGATGAATACTTCTTTGACTGGTCAACGGAATTAACAGGATTCATCGGTGATCATCACATTCACCCCACAAACAGAAACTACTACGCACCCCCATGGTCAAAGAAGCTAAGGTTGACTCAAAAGCTTAAAGCTTCCAGAAACTATCTCAAATCTTTGTTTAACAAATCTGCTTGTGGTTCAGATGCTAAACAACCAGTAATCCAACAGGATTCTGATAAAGATAAACATTTCTTGACCAAATATCTAAAAGTCAACAACAAGAAAACCGGGTTTGGCAAATACCCGACATTGGGAAATGTTTTAAAGGGTATTGAAGATGAAGGGAATGAAGATGGTTTTGACAGTAGTTGCAGCAATAGAAAGTCTTTTTCAGGGGCAATTAAGAGAAAATGCTCGCCGTCTTCCACGTCATCTTCTGGTTCCTCTTCTTCTTCATCATCATCGTCTTCTTTCAATTATTCTAATGGGATTTATGAGTTGTGTAAGAGGAATAGTACTGCTGATTCAGAGCTTGAAGGTTCCATTGAAGCAGCCATTGATCACTGTAAGAAATCCCAACAGGTTTTGAATCAATCTGTGTTTTTTCCAAGTTCTGTTTTATAAAATGTACTTTGTAATAATCAATGTTGTTTTCCTTATTTTTTTTTTTAATTATTTTATGAAGATAATGTCATGGTGTCCCATTATTTGCTTTTGAGATATATCGAAATTTTGTCCGTACAAAATCCAAATAAACCATTATTTAGTCGAATTCCACGGATATTTTATTTTCAAATCTTCCATGAGCACTATTTTGTTTACATGTAAAACAAATCAAAGCTTTTATTATCTTACATTATGATATAAATGTTTAATGTGATTTAATTTTGTACTTGTTGAATATAATTCATTACTAATAGCATTATGAAAATGTACACTACCTTACTCGAAATTAAAAAACAAAAGAAACTCAAATATCTGGCTATGACGTTTCCATTATAAAATTAAAATGTCCAAGAAACATAAGTTTTCAAGTTACAATTACGAATTTACCCTTCAAAATCTCAAATGCAAACACTTTCCCACAAAAGAAAAAAGAAAAAAGAAAAACTCGTAAAACAAAGTGAGCAGCATCAAATTGACATTATTAGATCTGTGCCTTTTTTCTGAATAGGTAACTACAGGTGCAGGAGGAAAGTATAAAAAGGCATCTTTTACACAAAGCAGATAATGAATCCAATTTAAGATCACATGTATGAAATTTAAATCTGCTATAGTAAGAAAGAAATAAAGGGACCCACTATTTTCTGGATTTTTAAAGTTTTCAGCTTTTTAGCTTTATGTGTTAGAATAGCACCGGTCCACCTCACTTTCTATGTGGTGCTAATCATCAAAACCTACTTCCCTTCGTCACCATCACATATATATTACAGTTGCAGAATATTATTTTTTAAAGAAAAAAAAAGATAAAAATATACCAAACTGTTAAAAAGTTTTTTCTAAAATAATAAAAAAAATCGGAATGGAAATACAAAAACCGTATTGCGAAATACTGTTCACCATGAAAAAGAAATTAATACTGTGAAATTGTTCATATTTTTACAAAAAAATCATGATTTTTGTCTTGAAAAACATTGTTTTGAAGTTTTTTTTTTTTTTTGGTATAGATTTTTAAAGACCAATACCACAACAAAAAAAAAAAGATATGCAAAACGAATTGTTAGGTTGAGGGAGATTTTGGAAGAAAAAAAAAACTAATGTAAAACATTTTAAAAAATAATAACATTATATATGTATGGAGGACCCATGTCTCGGTGCCAAAGCCTATTCCAAAGGTGATTATTCAGGGTTTTTTTCTTAAATTTTAACTAATATTTAGACAAAAAAAACTTTTACCACCATGTGCTTCTTTTACATGAAGAAAAGTACTTGGTCACTTTTACCATTATGTACATCTTTTACATTAAGTACACTTATAATCAACCCTTTTTCGTTCTTTTGACCTCAACAGTGCATGAAAGTGAGGAATCTGTTATAACTTTTCACTTTTCTTTTACTTAAAATAAGCCTACCCTTTTTAAATGGGTCTCCATTCCATAGCAATGTACAACGTTCATTTCAAGATTTACAAGAAGAAGATCATAAAGTGTTGGTTTAGGTAGGTTAAGAAAAAAGAAGATTATAAAAGATTTTGTATGTCAAGTTAATGATTCAGGGTATTCTTCATGATTAAAAAAGGTCAAAGTTATCTACTTGACAGATTTGAAGAATTCTTTAGGCAGAGTCAGTCAGTCAACATCATTACATCAACTAACTATCCTTTACTTGTAAGTTAAAATTTAACTAAAGATTATGAGTGTAGATTTAAGCATAAAAGGACCCATGAATGTGATTTCAATCTTTAAAGTGGCTATTCTTGCTTTAAGCAATGACAGCTTTTGTTAAAGCACAAAATGTTGCTTTAAGCATTTATATTTGCTTACATCACGTCTATGCATTCACACCATCCATTCAACCATGTTTGTTGGGTAAGAGATGACACCTAGGAGAGGTGCTTTGAGCACAAATGCAAAACTTAAATTGTTTTCCCACAAAGTGCACTTACGAATACTATTATACAAGTATATGAAATGCTAGGAGTACTCATGAACACATTTGAAGAACTAAATGAGTATTTCAAATGTAATATACTAGGCAACACACTTGACAAAACTTTAAGAAGGAAGTACACCAAAGTGTATATTTTCATACAACAAACTAAATACTATGCTTGGAACGGGAATTACAAACATGGAAATACAATTACAATACAATAAGTAATTAAACAACCACAAGTAATAAACAATCAACCATAAAGAACACAAGGATATAAAGTGGTTATTAACTCCACTTCGATGGAATCACTCTGTCTAAATTGATAATCATTTCCAAATCCGATCCACTGATAAACAAAGAATCCTTTAAATGTATGAATAAAACCGTGTGTACATATTCATACTCGCACCAAAACTGTTTATAAATGGGGAATGTGGATCTAAATCTTATTATATTAAAACACTTGCTTAGGTACAAGATTATTTGGTGTGCAACCAACATTGTATAACTCAAGATCAAGTAAGTAGAGATGATATTTTCAAATATCTTCTTTATTAAGTTTTCTATCTCAAAAGAGTGAGTATTCTTTTAGAAAAATATTGGAGAGGTGATGGGAGAGTGTGCAAAACCTAAACACCAAATTAAATCAACTTCTTACAAACTCGGATGTCTGAGGATTTGAAAAATACATATTGCACCCATTTTGGAAAATGAATGGAGAAAATAAGCTCATTATATATCGCTCTTGTAACAAAAGCCTAAATGACAGTTTTGATCTCTCTAGGTTTAATTTGTATGATTTGCAATTTTTGTCCATGTAGTATTTTTATAGAAACGGTCATTGTTTAAAAACAAATTATATAACTGTCCTTAAATATGCCACAATTATAAAAATGGTCATTATCTAATTATATAATGGTCCATAAGTTTTAAAAATTTACAGAAATGGTCCTATGAAAAAAATATGTAATGGTCCTTAAGTATGACAATTATAGAAATGGTTCCCTGTAAGATAAAATTACAAAATAGTTCCTATCTAATAATAAAATTACATAAATTGGCCATGCATGAAATAAAATTACATAATGGTCCATGTGTAAGACAAAGTTATAGAAACGGTCCGATGTAATAGCAAAATTACAGAATTGGTCCATGTGTAATAAATAACTTACGGTCTTACATAATGTCAAAAATATATGATTTAAACTAGTTGTCGATTATTGAGGTGTTGAAAACCTTTTTTTCAATGGTCGTTTACTTTAAATAAGATATATCACTCTATATTTTATAAAGAACATCATTCATATATATGTATGTTTTGTGGATGTTAGGGTTCTAGTAGAAAACATGATTTCACAACAATGACAACATCATCTACTGATGCAATCTAGGTTATGCCTCAACTGAAACCCTTCAATATATACGTAAATGGGATTCAAAAGTGCAAGTAAAAAAGGGAAGAATTTAAAGGTCGTTTGGGAGATTCAAACATATGCATGTAGAGCAATTTTCTCATTTTCAGCTACTTTTATATTAGATCTTGGATATATGTACATATGAAGTGGTATCTATCGTGCCATAATTAATACCAAGGGAAATTGGAAAAAAAAGACGAAAAGAAGCAAAACATATAACAATACCATGAATTCATCCATGAATCATGATCAGATAGCATATAGTTTCTTGAATTCATCGGTTTCAGAATCCGATGCAGACACCGACCCCGATAGCGACTTCATACTCCTCTCAAGCCTACGACTTTTTATACTATTCTCTTCAATTCGATGCATAATAACCCAATAACACATCGTCCCTAACGTCGACGCCAATGTCACCGATCCAATAATCGTAACCCCAATCGCCAACCATTTCTCATTCCCCACAACGATAAACGAAAGTGCAAGAAACGCGACTGCAACAAACACAGACGCCAACCACATCAGCTTATTAATCACCGCCATCACCTGCTTCTTCGCCCGTTTCTCCACCACCACAATCGACGTCTGAACCACCACCACCGCCAGTGAAATAAAAAGGGCAAGAGAGTCAAAGATCAAGAACACAATGAACTCCGGATTCGAAGCTATGTGCGCTTCCCCCAAAGAAAAGTCAACCGGAATGTTTTTGTTGGTATCGACGTATTGCCCTGGTAATTGAAATATGGCAGCGAAAGTAACAGTGGCGATTAGAACAGCAACGACGGTGGTGGAATTGATTGCGTTGTTGAGACCTTCAAGATGCATTTTGTTGATACGTTTTCCGATTCCTTTTACTCTTTTTTGAGTTTTGATTGCGTGTTCCAGTTGATCGTGAACTCCATGTTTGATGTCGCTTACTGTTTGTTTTAATTCGCGGGATTTTGGTGTTAATGGTGATTGTGTGTTTTTGATGAACTTGGCTTTTGGGACTCCATGTTCTCGTAAGATGATCGCTATTTCTGATCGCCCAAATTTCTCAGCAGTGTCAATGGCTGTTTCTCCATATTTGTTAATGGCTTGTTTGTTGATTGCTTCCTTGTGTCTCAACAATGCCCAAACTATCTGCAAATTCAGTACCCATCAATAAACCATAAACTAGGTATACATGCAATAAAACATAAACATTTATCAAAGATAACTTTTTAGATGTGTAACAAAATTCCATTTGAATTAGGAAAGTTATCCTTTTGAGCTTGAAAGTCAACATAAAGTAATGAACATGTTTAAATACCTGTGTGCGACCTTTTCGTGAAGTTATATGCAATGCAGTGTTGTCCTTTTTGTCAACCATATTTATGAGGCCATTATCTGCTTCAATAAGTGCATCAACAACTTCAACATTTTGTCCCTTAACAGCCATATGAAGGGCAGTTTGTCCCTTTTTGTCAGCTCTACCAACAATTCCAGGTACTTTTTGAGTAAGTGCCTTTACTACCTCTAAATGCCCTTTTCTTGCACATGAATGTAAGGCGGTTTTGAGGTTGCTTCTTGCAATATTAGCCATGCTGCTATTTTTCTCCAACAGATAATTCACCACATCAAGATGCCCTTGTTCTGAAGCTGTGTGTAATGCTGTGGTGTTTTGTTGATCGAATGTCATACAAAGCTCTGAATTCATTTCCATTAGAATCTTTAACACCTCTGAAATGAAAGTTGAATCATATCTTGAGAACCCTTTTGTATTATACAATATCATGACAATTTTCTGAATAAAAATCGCCCTCAAACTTCAAATGTTACAACTTAAAAGAGAGAGTGTTGTAACTCATAAGTTTAATAGTTTATACTCTTGTTTTATGGGTCCCGTGCATTTGATTGTATGAACAAGGTTACAACTTAACATTTGTGGGAGATTTATGGGTAGGGATCTAGAATTTTTGTCAACAAACTTTGCAAGAAAAATGTCTTCATAAAAATTCATGATTATTGGAAAGCTTTGACTCTAACTAATGAAGGAAATCACATGCTAATCATAGGTCTTTATTATTGTGATTAAAGAAAGGCCTATTAAATGACCAAAAGGGAAAGTCATATCACAAAATGAAAGACTTTTAAACTTTTATCAAAATAACATTTTGTTACCAAATTGCTTTATCAATGGGCTCTACTAGAAAAATCATTAAGAAATCACGATTTTTTTTATAGTTTAACATAAATAACACAATTTTTTCACGAATAAATGATGTTTTAGCGTATAAAAAGAATTAAAAACTCATGGAAAAGGATGTCATTTGTAGTGAGACCACTGATAAAGCATGTTTGCATCAAAAACAGGTATTTCGTTAAATAGATGGTTATTTTGTGATAAATTTTCAAAAGTTTTTTGGTCATTTTTGTGATTAGCCATTAGAGACAATGTTGAAATACAAAGTTATGCAATTCATCCCTCTTTTCTGTTGATACTTTCCATATATGATGCAAAATCTTATCTCTTTCTCTTTCTATTTGTATGATGCAAAATCTACTCTCTTTCTATTTATACATTGGCTAAAAGGTTTTATGTCATCAAATTATTCCCAAAAACAAGAAGAAATAATCAAATCCTTACCAAGATTTCCTTGTTTTGTAGCGATATGGAAGGCATCAAAACCATTTTTAGCCTTAATACTTGCAGATTCAGAGTCATAAAACTTTATCATCTCTTTCACCAAATCGACACAACCATATTCAGCAGCAACATAAAGAGGGATTTCACCCGATTGATTCTTCTTTTTTAGCAATTCCATCAACTTTTCGTCCTCGTAACTACCTAAAATCTCAAAAGCCACATCTAAATCTCCTGTTCTTGCAGCAATATGCAAAGATGTATCATCTTTTTTCTCCATAGTCCTGTTTCTGATTAAACTTTGATTCGTTTTTCCTGTAGCGACTGGAGAATCCATGGGATTGAGGTTTTAATAAAAACCCTCTTTTTCTATGATGGTTTACTATAAGAACGAAAAACACCCAGATTAGATATTGTCTATATAAACTAAAAGATCTAACCTTTATTTCTAGAAGCTTAGCAAGATTACAAGATATAATTTAGGTGGATGTAGGAATAACACATAAGCAAAATTAGAGGCTTTAGATATTTTATTTTACTTAAATACAATTAATTTTTGACCATTGACAGTTGGACACCCAAATTCTTTTCTTTCCACACTATGACTAGATGTCTAGATGACTGTTATGTATGATGGGTGTTTGGGAGAG